AAGTTATTATAACAACCGCTATTAAAATTAATAAATAACTATTAAATTATTAAATTGTTTTGTTATTTAATAAGTATTGCATTTGTTATATAATCATTAAAATTAATATTACTACATTAAGAAAAGGTATAGTATTAAGATTTAGCAAAATATATCCTCTATGCCTTTAATAATAAATTAAATAATAAATAGTCATTCAAATTAATGCATTATTAAATTGTTTAATAATTATTACAATTACTTTTAGTATAGTAAGAATATAGTGTAGTTCAATATTTATTAAATTATTATTAAAAAAGTATTAAATTAATAATATAATGTTTACAATTATTTTTATATAGTAACAATAAAGTGTATTATGAAGATTTTGCTTTTCATCATCCCCCGTCTCACTGTATCAAGAACAAAGCTTAGTAGATTAGATTTGGCTAAACATAAAAAAAATAACAAAGGTTTAAACGACATCAGGACGAGTAAAGTTCATTTTAGGTGAACCATCGCTTTAAGACAGAAAGGAGTCTTGCTTCAAGCAAAGTGTCTTTTATTAAAAACAGACAGACGGAAAGAACAGAGCAGAACTTTAATGTCAGCACAATAAGCATTTTAAAGTCCCAATGCGCTGAAAGCATATTCAAAAACCAACTTTTATTAAAACTTTTCTTTCTTCAGCTGAGAACTATGCAATATTAAAGCTCATAAACACACTGAGACTTCATTAGCATTTGCTAAGCTACAGCTCAGATCATGTTCAAGACAAATAAATATTCAAATCAAATATGCAAAATCGCCGGCAGCCAGATCAACACAGAATCATGTCCAGATGATAATCAGATCCATTTGCTCACACACAGGCTTTAGATTCGCTCATGAACACAATCCTGGTTGTCCTTGACTTTCTTTCTAACCAGCATCATAATGCAAGACTGTTCAAACAAAGCAAAATCACAAAATAAAGCAAGAATAAAAGCAGAAAATATTCATATGTAATTCAAAATTGTCCCATTTGCTTTTCAAAAAATCCTTCAAAGCATCCAGAGAAAGAACTCAGCTAACAGGGAACGTTTTTAAATAGTTATATAAATGTTAGGACCAAACGTTTTTAAAGTAACGTTTACGCAACGTTGTTATAACTTCATTCATGTTTGGTAGATGTTCTCATAATGTTCAGAGATCAACAGTCATGTTATTTGTACCGGAATGTTCTAAGAAAGATTTCTGTTATATTTAGAATGTTAAACATTTTTGTAACCTTTTAAAAAAACGTTCTAATCACAACAAGAAAACATTTGAACATTCTGAAAATAACCGTTCAAATGATGTTATATTTTGTGTACAAATAGAGTTAGTGGAATGTTGTGAGAAACATTTTTGTGAACTGTAAAACTTTCTAAGTACAAACACATTTTGGACATTTTTACCGTTTTTAGAATAAACGTTCAAATTATGTTATATTTTGTGTACAAATAGAGTTAGTGGAATGTTGTGAGAAATATTTTTGTAGCCTTTAGGCCTAAAACTTTCTAAGTACAAAAACTGGACATTTAAACCTTCTTAGATTAAACTTTCAAGAACTTTATATTTTGGGTGCAAATAAAGTTAGTAGAACGTTGTAAAGTAACTTTTTGCAACCTTTAAATAATGTGATAATCACGTCAAGAAAACTGGACATTTGAACATTCTTAAAATTTAAAAAAACATTCAAATAAAGTTATATTTAGAATGTTTTTGTAACATTTAAATAACTTCAATTACAACATTTCAAATAACATATTTTGGGCGAAAAAGTTGTTGTAAGAAACGTTTTTGTAACCTTTGTATCGCGTTATAAAAACAAGAAAACTGAATATTTTAACATTCTATTATGTTAGAACATTTAAAAGACGCTCGGATAACGTTATATTTAGAACGTTAAACATTTTTGTAACCTTTAAAAAAACGTTCAAATCACAACAAGAAAACATTTGAACATTCTGAAAATAACCGTTCAAATGATGTTATATTTTGTGTACAAATAAAGTTAGTGGAATGTTGTGAGAAACATTTTTGTAAACTTTAAATAACTTTCGTCAAGAAAACTGGACATTTTAACGTTCTTAGAATTTATTTATTTATTTATTTATTTTTAAATGTACGAATAGGCTAACATTATATTCTTGGTACAAATAAAGTTAGTAGAATGTCATAAGAAATATTTTTGTAACCTTTAGGCCTAAAACATTCTAAGTACAAAAACTGGACATTTAAACGTTCTTAGAATAAACTTTTCAAAAACATTATATTTTGGGTGCAAATAACGTTACCTTTAAATAATGTGATAATCACGTCAAGAAAACTGGACATTTTAGCATTCTTAAAATATTAAAAACATTCAAATAAAGTTATATTTAGAATGTTTTTGTAACATTTAAATAACTTCAATTACAACAAGAAAACGGGACATTTCAAATAACATATTTTGGGTGAAAAAGTCGTAAGAAACGTTTTTGTAACATTTAAATAACATTCCAATCACGACAACAAAACTCAACATTTCAACGTTTTAGAAACACTTAAAAAAAAGTAATTTTTTTACGTGGTAAGAAAGTTAACTTAAAATTAGTTAAGGAATCGATGACGGTGAGAAGTCGCAGAAAACTTTTCTTCTTTGGACCGCGCACAATAGGACCAGAGATGTATTATGAAGAGTAAACAGAGTGAATTTAGATTTTAAAGTGCGTCTCACTAGGCTTTGGATCACAGCTATTGTTGGAATTAGCAAAGTCAGAATTTAATAAAGCTTTTGTTTCTGAAGATTGCTCATAGAAAGCGCAGCACAGCAGAGCCTGATGGGAATTGTGGCATTGCTGTGGGCCGTAAAATTCAGTGTAAAGTAATTTAACGCCAACGCAACAGTAGCTAACCCAGTTTGAGTGCTGGAGCCGCTTCAGTCTGGTTCACAGGACTGACGCTCGTTTCGGAAAGGGTCAGAGATAAAAAGAGAGCGAAAGAGAGGCCCTCGGGCCGAGTCCTGGAAACGCCTGAGCTGTTCTACTTAAAGATCCTTAAATAGGAAGATCTAGACCTTGTGATCTTCCTCAAGACATCACGGGTTGCGCTTGAGTCACAAACAAACAGGTTGAAGAGGTTTGCATGGGATACAATCTCACTGTGTTTACAACTGAACAAACACTGAAAGAGTGTTTAAATAGCACAACATGTCTACCCAGATGGTCAGAATATGTTATAAGAACGTTTGGTTAACGTTCCTATTAAAACATCACTTATGAATGTATTCTGAATGTTTTTAAATTCTTAAAAAAATGTATTTTTCTTGATTATATTAAAGCAATAAGCCCCAAGAAGCCGTAGTTAGGGACGTAGTTCGGCACGACGCGAAGCGGAGTTAAACAGAGCAAATAAAGTGTAATGATATTAATAAAAACAGTATTTTTCTACCAAACAATGTAGCTCCTCAGAATCAGTTGTGGTTGCTACAAAGTCGAACGTGGCTCAGCCAATCAGAATCAAGGACCAGAATTATAAAGAACATTAAGCTAACGTTTAATTTCGTTATTTTACAAACATTATGGGAATGTTACTTTTGAATGTTTTCTCAACCATTTGACACGAGTAAATAATAACGTTTAAAAAACGATAACGCCTTTTTAATGTTAAAAAGCTTTCTTTCTTGGTTGTGAATGCTAAAGACAACATTAAGGGAACGTTACAATTTCTTCTTTTGCAAGCGTTATGAGAATGTTACTTTTGAATGTTTTCTCAACCATTTGACACAAGTAAATAATAACGTTTAAAAAACGATAACGCCTTTTTAATGTTGAAAAGCTTTCTTTCTTGGTTGTGAATGCTAAAGACAACATTAAGGGAACGTTACATTTTCTTCTTTTGCAAGCGTTATGAGAATGTTACTTTTGAATGTTCTCTAAACCGTGTGAAACTACAAAGTAGCAACGTTTGTAAAACGTTAAATGAGCGTCCGACGAAAACGTTTTTTTTTTTTAAAGTTCCATAAACGATGTATTAATAATGTTTTTGTGCTAATGTTTAGAGACCAGATAACTTTAAACAAACGTTCAGTTAACGTTATTGGAATAACTTTTGTTTACAACTTTCAGAGAGCGTTGCGAGCGTGTTCTGAGAACGTTTTCTGCTAGCGATGCATCACAGTGTAACATTGTTACACCATTTTCATTATGATCAACAGATATATATATATTTTAAAGTGTTGTTTAATATACAGCCAGCTCATAGTTTCTACTAATTTAAATCATATTTTGATAAACATTCACTAATGTTCAACGGGTCTATTGACAAAAAAAAAGATGTTCTGATGTAACATCATGTAACTCTACTAACTAAACCAGTGTCTGAGAAACTAAGAGAAGGAAAAGTTGAATAATAACCATTTAATCAAATGGGGGGGGGAAATTTGCCAAACAACAGCTTAAAGTTAATCTAAGTCTAAAGCAACCATTTTACATTTTATAATTGGACATACGTTGGGGTTTAGTCATTTTTTTGATTAATTAATTTTTTTAAAGGAACCCTTTAGAAAACATTAAATTGATCAAGAGTGACAGTAAAGACATTTATAATGTCACGAAAGATTTCTATTTCAAATAAACGCTGTTCTTTTGAACTGTTCATCTGTGAATCCTGAAAAATAAAATATATCACGGTTTCCACAAAAATGTTGGGCATTAAAAATAACTGATTTCAACATTGATAATAATCAGAAATGTGTCTCGAGCAGCAGATCAGCATATTATACTGATTTCTGAAGATCATGTGACACTGAAGACTGGAGGAATGATGCTGAAAATACAGCTGCACATCACAGAAATACATTACAGTTTAACAGAGATTCACATAGAAAACAGCTGTTTTAATTTGCAATAATATTTCACAATTTTACTGTATTTTTGATCAAATAAATGCAGCCTTGGTGAACAGAAGAGACTTTTGAACAATAATGTAATTCCAAACAAAACATGAGTGGGATTTGATTTAATTGACCACTAACTGTTTATATTGTGAAAACTGTGTGATTTTGAGCATAACCTGTTTGGAAAACAATCACTATTTTTGCAGTTTCATTTTGCACTACAGAAATTACGCACGTTTTGTTAAATGCTTTGCTTGAAAAGTGTGCTTGTGCATCTTTTCCTTTAAATCATTAGCTAATGCATGCACATTTAGACATTTTAAAGTGTCCAAATACTTTTGGGTGTCACTGTATGTGTATTTGAAAAAGAAAACTCCATGAAATATCAATAATGCTCGCGCTGGCTGGTGAAATCAGACTGCGGGTATTTCGGTGTGAATCAGCATCAGCGTCATGTCGAGGGTGTTGAATCTGTCCAGAACATCAGCAGGAGACTGAAACTAGGCATTTCGCTGCCAGGGTTCAATATACTCTAAACCCAAGTGGGCAAAGATGTCCTCTTCCGTGTTAGCAGGCAAGAAGGTATTCTGGAGAGAGACAGAGAGGGAAGGGTGAGCTTGTGTGATTTCCGCTGTCTGAGAAATGAAAAGAGGCAGCGGCATGTGAGGAAACTCTCTGGACTTGACGAATGATTCAACAGAGAGGCTGTGAGAGGATGAGGAATTACTGCAGCCACGTTATTGCACATTTCAAGGTCAGTACATGTGATTGTTTCAGATTGCTGGATGCTCTGTGTTTACACTGAGTCTCACAGATGATTGTCTCTAACGCAGAGAAGCTCAACTGAAAGGTCAGAAACAAACATGGGGTCACAGGCGGCAGGGAAAAACAACGCTAATGGCTAAAAATAAAATGCAATTAACCATATAACTGTGCAGAGCTAAGATGGCAAAATAAATGACATTATCAACAATTAAAAAGCAGTTTTGATGTCAAAGGTCATTTATTTTGGTGCACTGAAAAAAATCTTAATTGTTTTATTGCATGTTTTTGCATTTAGATTTTGCAAGTAAATTTCACACATGGAATTAAAGGTAAGGTAGGCGATTTGGGAGAGGCTAGCAATAGCAAGCTAGCTTTGAAAGCATAAGATCCCACCCTCCCTGCAAACCACTCTCCAAAGCCACGCCTCCTCCACAAACACAGAGATTAACCAGCGATGAGAGACGGCGTCAACGCTGTCAGATTACCTCACGTCTCATTCACCGCTGAGAAAACATTACAGTACAAAGCGCATGATATTACAACAATAATGCCTTCCATTCTCACCTAGTCTGCAAATACATATGTTAGCAGGCAGGTAGGACAGCCTATCGTAGCCCTCGGACCGAATAATCTGATTGGTTGAACATTTTACGGTCCTACGCCTTCCACAGACGATATACATACATATAAACACATTAAGACCACTTAGTGATCGCTATCGGAATGTGAAGAGACTTTCAAGCAGCATAACAAAATGTGTTTTTGAACAAAATCACCTACCCTGCCTTTAAATCATTTTATTCTGCAATGGAATAAAAATAAATAAATAAAAAGTGTAATTGCATTTGATTTTTGATTGATTTGTTTGCACTCAGAATTCTGAGTTTATATCTCACAATTCTAGCCTTTTTTTCATAGACTGTAGAAACAATTGTCACTCAGATATTGCTAGTAAATTTCACAATTACAAAGAAATTTTCATGTAAAATGTACTCTAAAAGCCTTTGATTTATTTACAACTTCAAAAAAAGAATTTTACAGTGTTGAAAGAAGTCAGAATTTTGATAAAGTTGCAACTACCTTTTTCTTTTTTTAATTATGTGGCAAAAATGGGCAAGTGTTCACTGAATGAACACTGTAATACATTTTTTTTTGGTAAATAAAGTTGCAAATAAAACTATGAATAAAAAGAAATAACAAAAAAAGGAGTATGTTTTTCAAAAACATAATATTCTAGTCTTTTCAATTATTTAAATTACGCACTTTCTTTCAGTAACATTAACAGAACATTCTTTCAAAGCAAAAATGTTCTTAAAACGGAAAATAACATTCACCTAAAGTTTGCAAAATAATAAAATGGAACGTTCCCATAACCAAGAAAAAGCATCGTTTAAACATTTCTAAAACAGTTTTGAACGTTCAGAGAAAATTTTGAAATAACATAATGCCAACATTAGCAAAACATAGCTTGTAAGTTGGGTATATATATATATATATATATGTATGTATGTCCCAATAATGTATGACTTTTGTTCTTTCTTTGCAACAAGTATCTAAATTTAAATATATATATGGATAGTTAAACAGATGAATGTCCAACTAAAACGTTTCAGGAAGAAAAAACATGAACGATTTATGAATTATATTTTTGTGCTAATATTCTGAGAATGTTACTGAAGACCAGATTCAAATCCGAAAATTCTCTTAATGTTACTGGAAGCACATTTGTTCATATCTTTAAGAGAAGCTTGCCAGAACGTTCTGAGAGCATCTACATGCACAAGCTCTTACTGATGTTCCCCAGCATTCACCTAACCGGATCCGTGCGACACAGTAACAAACCCTCCTGACCTTGCCACGGACGGTGTTAGGGGACAAAGTCATTCTAGATGTCATAAGTGATGAGTTCAGGAGAAGGTGCGCCTGTGCTCAGGGCGTGATGTCATGAGACGGTAAATATTTCGGCTGGAGAGGCCAGTCTGACTCACCGCGGCAGAGCAAGGGAAGCTGTGAGCTCCACACGTGCTGCCTGGAAGTGCTAAACTGGAACTAACTTGTCAGAATGAGGCAGAGGAAATAGAAAGCATGTGAACACTTTTAGCAGGAGCGACAGGCTGCTGCACAAACCAGGTGGAAAGGCGAGCTCCAGCTCTCCGGTTTAACTTCCCACATCATTGTTTGCAATGCAAACGAGGGAGGGTGGAGCCAGAGAGTCATGTGACTTGCAGTTTTGACGTTATGTATTGAGACCTTTTTTTTCAGAAATTTGAATGAACTTATATGTGTGTGTGTATGGATGGATGGATGTTATCTGTTAAACCCAAGTGAGCTCTGTTACTGTCTATCTTAGCCAGGACACTCTATTTTTAATCTCAATGTGCTTCTTTTCCTGGTAAAATAAAGGTTATAATTAGTGCTGCCAAACAATTAATCGCGATTAATCACATCCAAAATAAATGTTTTTGTTTACATAATATATGAGTGTGTACTGTGTATATTTATTATTATGTATATGTGAATACAAACACATGTGTGCATATATTTAAGAAAAATATGTTATGTTTATAAATTAAAGATATTTCTATATAATATAACAATATACATGTATATACATGTAAATATTTTCAAAATATATACTGTATGTGTGTGTGTATTTATATACACATAATAATAAATACACACAGTAGACATACATATATTATGTAAACAAAAACTTTTATTTTGGATGTGATTAACCGCGATTAATCGTTTGACAGCACTAGTTGTAATAATAATAATAATAAAAAGTACTTAATGTACTTAATGGTAAACAACAAGATTTTTGCACTTTCTGTACAAAATGTAAGTGGTGTTTGCCGATGCAAAACAATGCTAGGTTCAGTTTGAGTTTGAGTTATTTTAGTACATCAAATTAAACTTTTTTTTCAGTTTTAGTTAACTATATTAACTACGGTGGTTTGGCTTAATATTGCAAACAACACTTTAGATTAAGTCACTATGCAAAAACAAACACTAAGTATATTTTATATACTATGATCAAAAAGTCTCTTCTTGATTTATTTGATCAAAAATACAGTATAAATGGTAAAATATTAGAATTTAAAACAGCTGTTTTCTCTGCGAATATCTGTTAAACTGTAATGTATTTCTGTGATGCGCAGCTGTATTTTCAGCATCATTCCTCCAGTCTTCAGTGTCACATGATCTTCAGAAATCAGTATAATATGCTGATCTGCTGCTCGAGAAACATTTCTGATTATTATCAATGTTGAAAACAGTCGTGCTGCACAATATTGTTTGTTTAAACCGTGATGCATTTTATTTTTCAGGATTCACAGATGAATAGAAAGTTCAAAAGAACAGCATTTATTTGTAACATTATAAATGTATTTACCGTCACTTTTGATCAATTTAATGCATCCTGTGCTGAAAAAAATACAAATCAAGAGCACAGTGTTGAGCTGTTTATGCGAGTCTTTCTGTTTGTGTAACTGTGGGAGTATCTCTAACACATGACATATCCAAACTTTTGCAAACTGGTTTTGGCAAGCATAAAGCTGCATTTTCTAAAAAACTAAATTTTTGATGAAATCTGGCAGCGTGCGTATAAAAATGTCTCCACTGAGAGAGTATCAGGAAGCATTGGACGGCGTTGATCCCACACGCCAAACTAAGCCTGTTCCCTACAATCCCTCAGATACTCATACGGGATGAGCTCCACATTAATTACAGCATACAAACACATCCAGAAGACTGATCTGCAGCTAATGCTCCTCTACAAACACATCAGACTGGTCTTATTCAAGAATACCATCACTTTAAAGCTTTAATATGCATTTCATTCAGTGCCACTGGTTTATTTAGCATGCCGAAGCTCACTGATCTCTTGAGTAAATGAAGTGCTGCTGATGTCTGCATATAATCCTGTGTGTTTATCTCCTTCAAATTCAAGTGTCTCATTTCATAATAATTACTAACAGGTTTCACAAACACTCCTACTGTGCTTGCTGTACTTTCTGTCATTGTTCAATCAACACAACAGCTTCCCGGCTAACAGGGAACATTCTCAGAACATTCGGGCAAAGTTCGCTGTTTTTGTTTGCATGCTTTATTTGACGAAATGTAAAACATAATACAAAAAAGCCCATTAAAACGAATTCATGCACTTTTCAAAACTGTCGAGGACTTGTTTCCATTGTGGTCCTCTACGTTCAGTAACATTAATGGATCATTCATTCAAAGTGATCTGGTCTTCAATCACAAAAACATCATTTATACATCGTCCATGGAACTTTTTTCCTGAAACTAATTTAACCAGGCTTTGAGGAGTCAGTATTTCATGTTCGAACTCTGAATTTGAACTGAAGTACTGTAGCAAACAGGATGCACAACTGCAGTTGAAAATAGAATGTAAGGAAGCAGAATCTATATTTGAAATTCAAAAATTTACATTTTTGAAATCGATATAGCATTCCAAATACTAAAGTTTGCTTTTAAAATGTATCAAACGAATGATTCTTTCGAGACAGTTCTGAGAAATACATAAAAAATCCAAAGTGCAATTAAAGATTAAAGAGATATTTCACCATAAAATAAAATTTGTAATTTACTCACCCTCGTGTTTCCCAAAACATGTATGACTCTTTCTGCTGTGAAACACAAAAGCCGATATTCTGAAAACGTTGGAAGCCAATCAACATGACATTCATTACATGGACAAAAACAGCTTTCAAAATATCGTTTGTGTTTCAAAGAAGAGAGTCATAAGTCAGAAGCAAGTTTGGAATGACATGAAGGTGAGCAAACAATGAAAATTTTTTAT